CTTCATCATTATAATACATACTTTTATAAAAGTTATTCTGTTTATCATCCTTGAAGCACACTTGTTGTTAATTGTCTTAAAAATAGAACTCAAAATGTAATTAATTTTATTTGCATGTAGCTTAAAATGATCTGTTACTGTTCTGGACCCAATAGCTGAATCTCAAAAATATTTACAAAACATTTTTAAACTTAAATAAATAAGAAATAACAATTAATAATAAAAATAATAACAAAAATAATTAGTAATCAATAATGATTGTTATTATTATGTATTTATTATTACTATTATTATTATTATTATTATTGTAAATACTTTTATAAACGTTATTCTGTAATTTGTCCTTTAATTATGATGATAATTTAAACTAAATTATAGTTATTGGTCTTGAAAAACTGAAAATGTCATTCATTTTATTTGCAATTAGCTTAAAATGATCTGTCTGTTCTTGATAGCTGAATCTCAAAAACATTTACAAAACACATTTAACCTCAAATAAATCGATAACAATTATTAATAATAATGTTTTACTCTTTTTTTATGTGTTTTGATTCTCAGAAACGATTTTTCATTGTTAATTATTTTATTTAAATAACCACAATTTGAAGCAAATATGTAAATAATTGTCATGAAAGAAAATGTGAAATTAAGATAAAAATGGGTCCAGGAAAACATTTAAATAAAAAGAAAAATGCGAAAAGATGCATGTTTCACTTACTAACTCATTGTGGCATTTTCATATAAATAGGAATAAAAATTACTGGAGGAAAAATCTAATTTTATGATACTTTTAATTCTCACAAGATGATCTCATTAGAGATCAAATGTGAATGTTTTAAACATAACATCGTATAAATAAACATAAAAATACATACGTGACTTTCATGGCATTATCATGAGCAAAACTGACTAATTCAAAATAAAATGCATCACTTTTGATTTCAGGTTTAAAACAACAAAACAAAATGCAAATAAAGTACTGCATAATAATGCATATAAAAATACTAATTCCTTTTTAAACCACTGTATACATGTGAAAAAATTAAGCCTGGGTGTTCTGTAGGGTCTAAATAATTTATATATTACCAAAAATAGTTGAATTTCAAAATCATTTACGAAACCCATTTAACCTTAAATAAATAGATGATAATAGTAGTAATAATAATAATAATAATAATAATAATAGGAAGAATAATAATAATAAAATGTTGAACCTAATTATTTTACTAATTCTTTTTAAACCGTTTTATACAATCATGTGAAAAAATTAGGACACCCTATGAAATTCTGGGTATTCAGTAAAGTTTTTTATTTATTTAATCTCAATTTTAACAATACAGAAAGGTTATGGTAACATAACAAAACTATTAAAACTGAAGACAATATTTTTCAAGACCTTCTGTAAATCTAATTCTACAAAACTGCATATTCTGAGGAAAAAGAGTGTCATCCTCAGGCGTTCATAAGGTGTCCTAATTTATTCACATGACTGTATGTGAAAGCAATATTTTAAAAAGACATTTCAATAGTAATATTGTTTAAATGTTTATTTAAAAAAGGACACATTTGTTGTTCCATCATGACAAGGGAGTGTAAATGTAAAGTATTAATATACTTCTTTTGATTAAAAGGTGAAAAGAGCTGTGGTGCTCATGAGGCTCAATCTCGTAACTCTTGGCTCTAGGGTTGTCACAATACTGGAATTCAACACCAATCGATACAAAAATCGTAAAAACGTCTATGTCTTGCTAACATTTGAGCACTTAAACAGTGCTGATTTGCCATTGTGCACATTTGCTCAACAGAAATGGCTGTGATTGGGTGTGCAGGTCATCAATTCACCGACATTACCGCTGTTTACTGAGTGTAACCACAGATACAGGGACGTCGTTCAGCTGGTTTGTCTATAAGCTGACATCCACTGATGAATCAATGTCTCTGTTTACGCTCATGTCCTTCACAGCCAATCACAGTCATTTCTGTTGAGCATGTGAACACAATGGCAAATCAGTGCTGTATAAGAACGCGCTCAAATGTTAGCGGGAAATGGATGTTTTTAAAAGTTCGGTATCGATTGGTATCGAATTTCAGTATCGTGACAACCCTACGCCCGGGGGTGAAGTGTGGAGAACTGCTGGTAAACTCTGGCACAATGCAGTAAATAATAAGAGTGTGTAGTAACAGCATGTGTGTGGTAAAAGTGGAACACTTAGAAAACATCTGTGCAAAACGCACACACATAACAGAGGCAGATGAACGTGTGTTTTGAAAACAGACACACCATAAGCGAAAGCCATGCAACGCTGGCAATGTAACAATCCGAATAAAAAGGCAATAAAAATAAAAACAGCCTTTATACTGCCGTCCCATTTCGGTCAAACTCCCAACACCCAGAATCCCACGCATGCAAGACCTGTAACACTAAAAAAAAAAAACAGCAAAAACACACCAGCCCTCGTGGCTCTAGCAACTCCAGCCAGGCTAGAACAATATAATAAGTGTTTCATTCATGTGTTTCAAACGTCTTTACATATATTTCTAGTTATTTAAACAAAATAATAAAAATTGTGCCCGTCATGCTCTCAGTTGTACAGTCGATAAAGTCGAGCTCTTCGTAAAAGTTAATAGCTTTTCTTGTCTCCGTTATTATGATTGTAGCACTAAAAGTGTCGGTAATACTTTACTTGAAAGGGTGTTCATAAGACTGTCATGACACCTTTATTAACATGACATGCATCTGAATGTAAATGAGACTTCATGAATGCTTATAACAGCTATCTTTAAGTGTCATTCGCTCAATTATGACAGTGTAAATGTGAAGATGGCATTGTTTGCTATGACAACATGACATAAACTAATATATTACCTGTATTTGTCATGACAACTTGACATTACCAATACATCATAACTTGTCCTAGATCAATGACAGCTATGATTATGAATGTATCATGAATATTTTTCTGATCACCTTTTCAGTGGAGCAAACGGTATTTGTAAATAAAATGATTTATTAAGTGTCATTACTTTGTCAAATCATTTCATAACAGCGGCAATAAGACTTAATGGCAAATTCAGCTTGTGCTGCTGTAGTTGAGGTCAACGAATATTAATGACGCTGTTATAAAATGCATGACATATTAATAATGGCTTCATAACAATCATGTTTATGACAGATTTATGACAAGTTTTGATAAATATTTTTCTTTAATATTTTTCTGATTACGCTTTCAGAGGAGCAAACTGTGTTTGTCATTAAAATATCTCATTAAAAGTGTCATTACACTGTCAAATCATTTCGTAACAGGATCATTACTATTTAATAACATTTCAATGACCAAATTCAAATTCAGCTTGTGCCACTGTAGTTAAGGTAAAAAAATATGATTGATGCTGTTATAACATACATGACATATTTATAATGGCTTTATAACAATCATGTTTATGACAGATTTATGACAAGTTTTGATGAATATTTTTCATTAATATTTTTATGATCACCTTTTCGGTGAAAAAAACTAATTGACATCAATATGTCTCATTAAAAGTGTCATTACTCTGTCAAATATATTTTTAGGCGTGTAAATAATATTTAACGGCATTTCAATGACAAATTCAGCTTGTGCCACTGTAGTGAGGTCAAAAAATATATTTTAGATGCTATTATATTCACAACAATTATAATGGCTTAATGACAATCATGTTTAAGACAAGTTTTGGTGAATATTGTTCATGAATATTTTAATGCTCATGCCTTCAGTGGAACAAACTGAAGTTGAAATTTAAAAATTGAAAAGTCCCATTAAAAGTGCCATTACTCAGTTAAATCGTTAACGCTTTAGAATAACTATCCGTTATAATTAGTTAATAATCCATTAATAAACTGTTAGTTATTGAGCTTTAAATTACTTGTTAAATAAAAGTTATTAGTTTGTTAATTATTTATAACTGTGGCTTATAGATGGGCAATAGATATCTTACAAGTTGTTAGTTAACAAGTTATAAATGACTTGTTAACTGTATTTTAAAGATTTATATATATATAATATATATATATATATATATATATATATATATATATATATATATATATATATATATATATATATATATATATATATATACCAAATAAATTAGTTATAGATCTTGAACAAGCTTGAATTACTTACTAAAGGCATGTTATGTCTCAGTTAATAGTTTATATATGTTATTGGGACGTTATTCTAAAGTTGCAACTATCCTTCATTTATTAACTGTTAGTAAATGAGGAATAGTTGCAACTTTAGAATAACATCCCAATAACATACTTAAGCTAATAACTAACTTAACTAATGTATTAACTCACACTCGACAGATGAGTTGTTTATAGTTTAACCATCTACTAATACCAGTGAAATGTTGCAGAACTTTTCTAACAGAAGAGATTTTTATTTATTTTGTTTTCATGTTTAGTACAAAAAGTGCCCAAACCTCATTGGTTTGTATTCTGTTGTATACTGCAGCTCTGCCATGTGATAGCTCAGTATGTGTGTTTCTGTACATTAAACACAATGTTCAACATTTCATCTGTGGAGTTTCTTTGGTAAAATACAGCACACAGAAAAGCCTATGAGTGAAACAAGGTTAAGGTACAAAACTTTTATATTTTATTATCACATCAAATTTCTGTAGCTTGAACTTGTTCAATCCATTTGCTGTTCTACAAAGTTTCACTCGTATTAGTAGATGGTTAACAAACTATTAGTTGAGTGTTAGTTATTAGCTTATGTATGTTATTGGGAAGTTATTCTAAAGAATATTCTAACAGTTAGTAAATGAAGAATAGTTGCAACTTTAGAATAACGTCCCAATAACATACACAAACTATTACCTGATACTTAACAAGCCTTTAGTAAGTAATTTACTAACAGCTTGTTCATGATCTATAACTAATTTATTAGGTAGTTATAAATTATATATAAGGCCATCTTTAAGGCACAGTTATAAATAATTAACAAACTATTAACTTTTATTTAACAAGTCATTTATAACTCATTAACTAACAGTTTATTAATGCACTATTAACTTGTTAGAACGAATAGCTATTCTAAAGTCTTACCGCCAAATCTTTTCATAACAGCTTCAAAATTATTTAATGACATCTTAATGACAAATTAAGCTTGTGCCTCTGTAGTTTAGGGTCAAGAAAAAATTAATGACATTGTTATAATATTCACGATAATTATAATGACTGCATGACAATAATGTTTATGACAGGTGTTGTTGTTTAGGTCATGTCATGACAACTTGACATAAATCTGTCATAACCATGATTGTCATGATTATAATTGTGTCATGAATATTTTTCTGCTCACTTTTTTTCAGTGGAACAAACTGTATTTGTAATTAAAATATCTAATTAAAAGTGTCATTACTCGGTGAAATCATTTTATAACAGTGTCAATAACATTTAATGACATTTTATTGGCAAACTCAGCTTGTATCACTGTAGCTGATATCCAAAAATAATAACGACACAACACTTTTATAATATTCATGACATATTTAGAATAGCTTACTGACAGTCATGTTTATGACAGATATATGACAGGTGTTGTCATCGTGTTAACGTCAAGCTATTATGATTGTGATGTATTTATGTCAAGCTGTCATAACACATAAGGTCATCTTTGCATTTAAAATGTCATAACTGAGCGAATGACACTTAATAACAGTTGTTATAAGCATGCATAAATTCACATTCACCTTTATGATTATAAAGGTTTAATGAAAGTCTTAGGAACACCCCTTCAAGTAAAGTGACTGGAGGAAAACCCAGTGGTTAGAGACTTAAACCGTTCAGCAGGTCAGATCTCAGTCCTGACTGCTAATTATTAGTGTAATTCAGTCATGCTTTTATGCCATTTACACACTCATGGCTGAATCCCATGCAAACCCGCCACATTTCAACCTAAATAATACAAATCAGGCTCTCAACTAAGCCTTTATTTGTCCTTAATATTGTGCTATTTTATTTATTTACTATCTTAGCATTGATGTATTATTTTCATAATCCCAAAATAACATTACAGTGTTATTTCCTGATGTTTTAAGGATTTTCACTATAAAATATGCCAATTTATAAATTATTAAACATAAATGCATTACAATTGAACTAATAAATCATTATATAATTTGAATTATGGTAATATATTATGGTAGGATATTATGCTAATTAAGTTTTTTCTTATTGAGCTTACATTGTTCAATAACTACTCGGGTCACTCTAATAATGAGAACATTTGACAATTCGATAATTTAATATTCAAATCCATATAAATAAGCATACACATTCACTTTAATAAATCATATTAAGTGCATTCAATTTAAATAATAATGCATTAGTTTTTGCTTTGTGGTATTGTAACATAATTGTCATAATTTCCATTACTGTGATGCATCTCTTTACATCTATTTCTATTTATTATAATCAAGTCGATCTCTAAAGAAATTCACATTACCATAATACAACTGAACATTAATTGATTAATTCCCATTATTCAGTATTTGCTGTCTTTATTGTTAAACAGTAAAAAAACAGCAGTACAATGATTTATTATGTAAATCCACATAAATAAAATGTAAACATTTAATTTAATTAAATGTGCAATAAAATGTAAATGCATTTAAATAGTCCATCGTTATATTTTTTGCATTCCGGTAATGAGGGCTGGTCTTATAAATAAATTTCACAAAACTAAAAAAGGTCCTCAAAAATATTTGAGTCTTTTATTTCTCCCCCCAAGTATAATATCTTGTTTAATTTAGGGTGAAATGCGAACAGATTTTGTGAGATTCAACCAGTAGTCATCGTTACTCTCAGATACGCGAGCCTGGGTAATTTGGCCAGCTCTCATTTCCACATCACTTAGGAGTCAATAATAATAATAATAATGATAATAATAATTATACATGATAATAAATGAACACCACCCATAATAGGTAAAGATACTAAAGTGTAAAACTAACTGTAAAAATGAAAGCGAAATGCTTTGATGAGTCTGTGTTTTCCGGTGCCGTTTGCGGAGCAGGTAGTGTGTGTTTGTTACCATTACTGAACCGTTCACTGAGCGGAAAGGAGTCTTGAGGATGTTTGGGGCTGATGGAACGAGTCCTACAGCACGAGGGCAGTGCCGGCAGTGGTCGGGGTGGAGCTGGGAGAGGGTGTGTGTTTCGGAGGAGCCAAATCAAGGAGAGCACGAACCGTTCCTGCAACCTGAGGCAGACCTCGCTCCTCCAGAATGTGCAGAGGGAGACACAGCTGACTCTATGGCACAAACACACACACAAATACACGCACACAGAGATGTGCATGCATACACAGACATACACACAATGCACACACACACGCATGTACAAACACACAAATGCATGCATGCAGACACAGATGCATGAACGCATACACAAAGCCATGCATGCAAGCGCATACCAATGCATGCACACATGCACACACAAATGGATGCACGCAAGCACATACAAATGAACGTCGCGCACACACACAGAGAAGCATGCGCGCACAAACAAACAGAAGCATGCATGCACACACACACACAGATGCATACAAACACAAATGCACGCACACACATATACACAGAGAAGCATGAGTACGCACAAACAGATGCATGCACGTGCACGTGCGCACACACACACACACACACACACACACACACACACATACAGATGGATGCACATACACACAGATGCATGCAAACACAAAAAAATGCACGCACACACACACACACACACGCACACACCCAGATGCATGCACACCCACAGACGCATATACACAAACACACACACACACACACACACGCAGATACATACACGTACACAGATGCATGCACATACAGACGAATACACACACACAGATGCACACACACACGCACACATACATACAGAAAGAGAGAGGGAGAGAGAAAGAAAGATGGGGCAAACAAAATGGGGACAAAAAGGGAATGTCAATGAAGAAACCAAAAATATAACTTAATACAACTTATTAATGGAGGAACTCAAACTTAAGTAGAGAACATAAAGCAGAACCCAAGAATGATTTAACACAAGATGAAAATAAAATCATGGGTTTTGGAAACTGTAAATAAAGATGGAGGAAATGAGGAAAGACAGAAAAATCGTTCAAAAATCGAAAAAATCTAGTAACTAACTGCTGACTGCTGACACTACAAGTGCTAGTTAGTAGAGAGAGCTATTGAACGTGCTTTGGGTTAGTGATCTGAACAAAGCCACACACAGATCGAAATAAAGCATGTAAATAATCCTGCAACAACGGACATTTTCAAAATAACTCTCCTGCTCACCAAGGCCATTGATATTCAAATGACATTCAGCAAATATTAGAAGTGTTACAATGATCATTAACTGTAATGCATTTTAAAAATAGTAATGACTCTAAAAGCACCCTAGCAACCACCTATAATCCAACATTTTCACATATTACTTTCCACACAAATTTTTTTGGGGTAGTCCACCCCAAAATTAAAATGCTGTCATTGTAATTTGAAATCTTTGACTTTCTTTCTTTTTTCAGAATGCTGAAAACCTGTGACCATTGACTTACATAGTATTGGTTTTTCCTACTAAAGTAGCCAATGACTAATTCAAGGACAATGTGAGAGAGATTTTTTTTTTTGCCTCTCTGCCCAAATGTATCTTACTTAGTTTTTCTAAATGGGAAGGGGGGGGTCCAATTTCACTACATGACAGTGTATTTGACTACATGAAAGTGACAAATAAAGGCCTTTGATTGATGGTTCCAGATTTTCAGCATTCTTCAAAATATCTTCTTTTGTGTTAAATAAAAGAAAGAAACTCAAAGATTTGAAACCACTTGAGGAAGAGTAAATAGCAGATAAATGATAACTTTTGGGTAAACAATCTTTTAAAGCTTATAAAATGATGTCAGGCTTTCAAAGGCCAACATATATCACTTTGTAAACTTTATCATTGCTGTCAAATCTAATTTAATATTCTTCATATTTTTGGTGGAAACTATGTTAGGTTTTTACAGGGTTTAAAAGAACAGTGTTAATCTTTTGTAAAATTATAATTAATAAAATTGTGTTACTGATAAATTGAGTAAACTGAAATTATTATCAGTATTTAAAAAAAAAAGGATGATATAATCAAAAATGTTTCTTCATCACCAAATCAGCATATTAAGATGATTTCTGAAGGATCATGTGATAATAAAGACTATGGGCTCTATTTTAACAATCTAGACGCAAAGTCTAAAGCGCATGGTGCAAAAGCATTAAGGGTGTCTCTGAATCCACTTTTGCTATTTTAAGGACCGGAAAATACGCTCTGCGCACGGTCTAACAGGGTTGTGCTTATTCTCTTAATGAGTTCTGGTGGTGTTTGGAGCATAACCGGCATTAAGCCAATTAGAGTATTATCTCTTATTCCCTTTAAGAGTCAGTTGCGTCACACCATGGCAAATTGCTATTTACATGGCGAACTTTGTAAGTGTAAAAACTGAACAATTCACTGGCGAGAAAACAGTTAAACAGAGCATCTGCAGCGCGAGGATAAAGAACGAGCCTCCTCCATTCAGCCTCTTTACTTTCTCTTTACTTTAGTCTTAATCTTTACTTTGGTGGCTAAGAATACAGTGGAAACTCACTCCACTGAAGACATCCATCAGCCCACATATTTAATTTTGTTTGTTAAGCACGAAGATTTGTTTTAAAACTATTTCTAAATTCAGTTCTAATTTCCAGCAAAGAAATACATTAACAATAATAATGAAGTGTGGCGTTATATTCAAACACACACCCTGTTCTTATGCCCTATATGGTTATGCAGACGTCTCCAAAACCCAACATGTGGACAAATCTAGACTTCTTTTTATTAAAACAAATATAAATATGCATATATTAAATAACACCACTATTAATAATAACATTATACTAATGCAAAGTGTCATGAATAAACTGAAATTAGCCCCCCGAGGTGAAGGAGGATTGGAGGTGGTGTTTTTTATATTTATGTAGAGAATAGTCATTTTAATCCTTTAATTTTTTATATGTTTTCATATTTTTTGCATCCTGTGTGTATTAAGCAATGTGTAAGCGTTTGGACCTGCACAGGCGCATAACTAACACGCTGTGCGCTGGACTTTAGAGCAGCTTTTACTTCGTCAATGGCGTGGTCTATTTCAGTTTCTCAAAAAGCAACACGCCAACAATGCACCTTAACACACCTCCTTAATAGACCGGCACACCCATAAGTCCACAAAGAGGCATAAATGAATTTGCTATTTAAACAACAAGGCGTAAAACATGAAAATTAGGATTGCGCTGGTCTGAAAATAGCAACAAATCGTGCCATACATGTCTAGTGCCTTTTTGAGCCGGGTGTATGATAGAGCCCAATGTAATAAGTAATGATGATGAAAATTCAACTTGCAATTACATGAATTAAATATTTTATGCAAAGTATAATAAAAAAAAATACTTTTTAACTGTAATAATATTTTAGAATGTTAACAGTATTTTTGATTCGGTGAGTAGTAGAGGATCCAAAATGTGATCATTTTCACCTGTCAGGTTTTTTTTTTCAATACACCAGTCACAGGTTTAAACAGAACTAATCACACATCTACAGCACACTTGAGTTTCAGACTTTATTGTAGAAAAGCAGAGGACAGCAGTCAGACTGTAGGAAAATCAGGCAATATGGCACACAAATCTGACCGACACAAACACTCACACACACTCTATGTGAACCAGTGTTTCAGAAACACATTATACTGTATATTAATGATCAGCAGGCATGTAATAGTTGACCAGAACTGTTGTTTTAGAGAGTAACCTGTGCTTAAGACTGACAGCATGCGTGATAAATGTACAGGGTTAAGAGCGGTCAGCAAGTTTGAAAGTTTCTAGTTATTTTAAAGGGTTAGTCGAACCAAATTACAATTCTGATATTATTTGCACACACCAAACGCCATTTAAATGTGTATGATTTGCATTCTGCACTGAAAAAAAGAAGACATTTAACTGGCATTAGTCCCTACTGCTGTTTTTTTATGATGTTTTGCTATTTTTGACCCTTTAAAGCCTCTTATTTGCTGTATTAATGTGGAAAAGAGCAGCTCGGACACTGTGCAAAATATCTCCTTTTTGCGTTTCCATACACAAAAGCAACTCATACACATTAAAAATGGCATGAAGGCAAGTTAATAATATATTTGGCTGCACTATTGTGTTAACTGTGAAGTGGAAGACATGGACATACAGTATATTTAAGGCACAGAGGGGTAAAAACAGGGGGCGTTTATGGTTTGGCATCCTCAATACGGTCTCATGTCCTTTTTTTTTTGAGAACATTAGGGAGAATTAAATAAGCAAAACCATCACAGGAGCCACACAGAGTTGAGTTTACAGACTTTGGGAAAATGTGCAGCAGAACTAACACACAATAAAGGGCTCGATCGCGGAGCAGGCAGCTTGTTCTGTCGTCTTGTTTAAGGCTGAAGAGGCTAATACACCCATTTTTGTGCTTTGATTTTTTGCTATGGAAATGTGCTCTCTCTCTATATATACACACACACACATATATATAAACACTCAATCCGCAAAGCCTCGCTTAAGGGAGTCACTGACCAATCCTATCATAGCAACGATTGCCGTCAAGTTTGTCTATTTCAATTTGGATTAAGTTTTCTTCATGAATTTTAAATGGCAAAAATATTTTGATCAAACAGATGATTGCAAAATCATATATAATCTTACAAAAGTCATATTTTGAATACATTTTGTTCATTGAACTTTCTATGCACTGTAAAAATGTAGTTGTCTGTTTTTTACTCCTAGCAAATAACGTATGAATGTATTTTATTTATTCCGAAATCAAACAAAAAGTGCTTCAGGGGTAAATAATGTGCCAATGCTCTTTGGATAATGGACTCATAAAGATAAACAACAGTCATAACTTATCCGAGGCACTCGAAAAGATAAAAAAAATAATTAATTACTTTATTAAAATGTATTAACAATTAATTTGTACTTTCTTTGAGTGCCTTGGGGGTCAGTGCATCTTTTGGTCATTGGATTTTCATTTTAGAAACAGATATTGAAAAAAGAAAAAAACGAGTCGATTTTTGTTTTAAAATTAAAGATGAAAATTGAAATTTAATAAGTTTTTTGATTTTAGCTTTTGAATTTTGAATTTTCTTTTTTTTTTTTTTTTTCATGGTAAAAACTGAAAAAATTAATTAAAAAAATTATTTGGTTTTCATTTTTTTTTTCGAATAACAAAAAATAAAATCACCAGAAAACAAAAACAAATAAAGGCTTGTTTTTATATATTCCAAAACTAGATAGGCCAACTCATTTACGGTGATGCAATGCTGACCTGCTCTAGGCTATTATTTTTTCCCACCTAATAATGTTATAAAAGGTATTTTCTTGTTATAACTGGATTTTGTTAAGACATATTATCCTCATTAAGACAACATATTTTTGTATGAGGGCCAATTATAGGCTATATATTTATTTTTTGTTAGCATGTTGTAAATGAAACAATCTTTATTTTGACATTACATGCAAGCATTACGTTGCTTTACTGAACACTTTTCTGAAAATAAAGTTTTAATATTGTTAAAACCATATTGCTTCTACATCCCGAAGTTTGACCACCAATCATTTCAGGTGAGGGAGGCAGTTGTTCGTTATGCACATTTCAATACGTAATAATATTTTAAAATAAAAGTTGACAGCTAATTTTATCTGAAAGGAGGCATGCTGAACAAACATCATTATAACCATCCTGTGTCTTTTAAAAACTGATTATTACTAAGCTTGCAGATGAGTTGTGCGTGCGTTATCACCCCGCTACAGTGGGTCTATCTATAATTTCATATAGCCATGTGCAAATATAGCAGATTTTTAATACATAAATTGAAATTATTTTAATAATAACCTGCCCTACTGCTATTACATTAAAATCCTGTTATAACAAGAAAACACCTTTTATAACATTATTAAGTGGAAAAACAACAATAGCCTATAGTAGGCTAGCAAATGAGCATTGCATCACCCTATATGAGTTGGCCTATCTGGTTTCAGAATATATAAAAACAAGCCTTTATTCATTTTTTTTTCTGTTGATTTTATTTTTTGTTATTTGAAATAAAAAATGAAAAATAAATTATTTTAGAGTTCTGCTTTTCTGTTTTTTACCATGAAAAAGAAAAACGAGTTTATTTTGTTTTTTTTTTTGCTTTAAATTTTAAAAACAAAAATTAAAAACACATTGAATTTCAATTTTCGTTTTTTTATTTTAAAATAAAAATTTAAAAAACGACTCGTTTTTTTCGTTCTTCAATATCTGTTTCTAAAATGAAAATCCAATGACCAAAAGATACACTGACCCTTGGACATATGATTTTGTATTTTAATTATAATTTTACTGGCTTTTGATTACATAAAAGCTTTTAAACTATTTTTGTCTTCGTGTTATTCTTGTTGTCCATTTTTTAGTCAACTTGGGTTGTATTTAATTGACAATTTCATAAATAAAGTGTAATTGTCATCAATTTTATGCTGAATCAAATTTCATTTTTAACTTTCATTGCATTAAACTGAGCTCAGACATCAAGTTAATCGAATATTAGCCATGAAAACGTTTTATTATTCCACTTATTGCTCATTATTTTTCAACTTTTCTACTAGATTTAACTTATGGTTTAAAGAAAATGTAAGTAATGTAATTTTTAATGCAACGTAAGATTAAATGACTTGTAAAATGAATATTATTAATATGAATATGAACTGAACTACTTTTTACAGCGTACCCATAAAAAACATAACATATAAATGATTTGTGATGCTGAAAGTTAGGGAAAAAATGGTTCTATTGCATGTCATATTACTTAAATGTATGATATATGAAAACAAAAAGCCATACAGGTATATTTTGGACTTGGATAATTTAAATAACAAGCTTATTCAAATAGGTTTCTCAACACAGATGCTTTTAACTCTTAATATTGTGTTAAGATACTATCCAAGGAGAAGTGTTTTTAACATTGATTAAATGCTTCTTAAAGCAGACAATTGGCATATAAGAAAGATTTCAGAAGGATCATGTGATCATAAGACTGGAGTAATAATGCTGAAAATTCTGCTTTGAGCCACAGGAATAAATTAGAATTTAAAACAGTGCTTAACATAAACGAGTACACCCCATTTAGAAAATGAACATTTTTATCCATTTCTCATTGAAGTTAAGTCATATTTTGGTGCATTTGAACAAAACAGATCTACTACTAAACAGATATATTTAATAAAATAATTAAGAAATTTAGAAATAGAAATATAATACAATTAAATTCATGCAAAATATTAAGGAAAAAAATTACAAACTACAAAATTTAAACTACTTTTTATTTAATATTTGTCCCTAACATATACATTTCAGTGTACTCATTTTGGACTATTATCATACGTTATTTTGTTAGATTAGCTCCAGAATTGACCTCAGTACTGACTAATCTAATGTACATATCCACAGATATAACACTGTAAAGCTTCTCATAGAAATGATTAATCTAAAAGAGAGATTTGTGAGGGATGTACTCATACATGTTGAGCACTGTAAACGGAAAACTAATAAAATGTAGTATAATATATCCCAATTTTACAGCTCTTTCTGTGTTTTTGATCAAATAAATATTGATCGTATGAATAACATCATCTAACTGACTGTAGTTCAATATCTTTAAATAGAAATTACTCACACATTTTGCAAAAGTCCCTGTAATCAAATCAATCATTCCCACTCTGAGCACACAACGTGTACAAATGTTAATTTATCAAGCTCTTCTTCCAGAGCAACACTTCTTCCAAAAAAACGGGGCTAATCAAAGTATCAATAGACCCTTTTCACAAGACTGTTATGATGTGTTGAATATTAAATAATTAAGTAATGCTTATGCTTGGTGTTTCTAATGCAGTCTCTATGGGGGCAGGACTGTAAATTTGACTTTATTCTCTCTTCTGGCTAACGTTATCAGTCTTACACTATTTGTTTTTCCTTTTTCTGTAAGCCTTGATAACACGATTGTGGATTTGTTTTTAAATTATTTCAGCAAATAGGCATTTAAAAACAATATTTGTTGTACTCTCCCATTCACTGCACTCTAAGTTTACCCAACAATGCCGACGTCCGCTTCTGAGAAACCTGGAAATGTGAAAAGGGTCCATTGGGTGCACTTGGAGACACTAAAATGTGCATAAACACCAGCTATCCTGTTAACCTTACAAACTGGAACGGTCTAAAGTGTGGTTTAAACGCTTGGCACCAGGTGGCAGTAGATAGCACATAGCAGCGACATGATTGACAAGTAAAAAAGGGCAAATCCAGCCAGCTGGGAAGAAGGGGCGTGGCGAAGGGGAGGCGGAGCCAGAGAGAGCAAGGCTTCGACCAGCCTGAACACACAAACCAGTTCCCCTTCTAACACATCGCCCGCTGAACACAAACTATCCTGAACACAGACCCAAGAGCAGCAGGAGGAAGAAGATGGTCAAATAAAACACAACGAGGGTGTTGATGGGGTGTGATGTGGTTTAAATTAAAGGGGAATGAGGAGAGAGAGAGAGAGTTAGCTGTGTTAACTGCAAGAGATGTTAAAAAGCCTAGTTTTGAAGCAAACATGAAGGAGTTTTATTAACTTTGTTATAAAACTAAAGATCGTAAACTAACCTGAGGAACTCCAATTCTGCGGCACGCCTCGAGGAAGTTCTCCACATTCCGTCGACACTTGGCCATTGTCAGTTTCGGCTGGAAAGGAAAGGAAAAAACATGTGATGCATTGTCATAAACATCCGGTTAAAAAATAACAATTTAATAATGTAAAAAAATCCTCTATAAGTCTGAAATTTAATTCATAATACTCTTAAAATGGTCTTGAAAAGTCTTAAATTTGACTGTGAAAGCTGCAGAAACCCTGTATAAAAGTGTCTGGTGCATATGGAGAGGAAAAAGTATGTTTCCTACAGGTGGTTTGTCAAGCCCACTAACCTGTGTGAAACACACTCAGAATTGCATGATGTTATGAGCAAAATGAATCCAAAAGGTCACTCACCACTGCCGGTGAGGGTACATGGATGCTCGGTATGGATCGAGGACGCACATGATTGGCCAGATGGCACAACACGACCCCGTCAGTCAAAGCTGCTCCGAGATCACTGGGTAAGGACACCTTGAGTCGACACTCGATATTCTGCAGGAGAGCCACTAAATGAGACTTACAGCAGGAAATAAACTATAAATGACTAAAAACAGAAATGGCAGGTAACTAAGGCAATTTGATTAGCGCACCCTTCTCAGCTGCTCTATCAGTAACGCCTCCTCTCCAGTAGGGGCTGGACTCTGTGTGGGTGTGGCTTCTACTGGCTCCGCCTTTTGTGTGCCTGATTCTCCTGCAAGAGTCAAGCATATCATTAGGAAGAGGTCATTAGTCTAAATGGCACACTATGCCAAGGGTGCTTAATCCTGTTCCTGGAGATCTACTGTCCTGCTGAGTTCAGCTGCAAACTTGCTCGATGTTTATCAGTTTAATAGTGACCTAAGAAATTTTTAATCGGTTTATACAGTAATTTGTACTTCAATATTGGGACAGATCCATACAACGCTGCTAGATGGCACCACTAACTCGGTTTTAGTGCTCTTGTGTCAACAGAATATTAAATTCCCATAATCAGTGGCTTCCTCTTATGCCTAGTTCACACTAGAGGATTTTAAGCCTGATTTAAGCCTGATTTGAAAGTTAATGAGCTCGCCGATAGATCGGGCTGTGATCGGGAAGAAATCTGCGGGTGCACGGCGCTCGCCGCTCTTTATGTGTGAACTACTGAACAACGCATCAAGGAGGCTCGCTGACGCGTCGCCGACACCTCACAGGCAGAAATCCAACATTTAGCATGCTAAATATTCCAGAGCAGTCGGCCGACTCAACCCCACGTGTGGTCAGATGTAGTGACGAGCTACAGCCAATGAGAGAGCATATCAGCATGAGCTGAATGCCTGTGTGTTCAGGAGCTCAGCAGAAACATCTGTGATTGGTCAGAATGGGCATCGGTGCACTCGCTTCATTCTGCGTTAGCACAGACATGAGAGTAGGATTTATTAACAGTGGAACTAGAATTCTGTAACTATTAGAATTAACATACTGCTCATTTTGACCATTCTCATATAAAACGCCATATTGTCACAACATATTTACATTCAAAGCTATTATTGAGATATTAAAATTAAGCTTTGAATGTCTGGCATCATATTTAATGACACCATTACCCTAAAAATATAATCTTTTTTTTGGTAATACAGCCTATAAATATGTAGTTAAGATACTAAAACACTTAAAGGTCTTTTCACTTTCAAACAGGAGCTATTTCACAGCACAGAATATGCTGTTTTGAAAGATATCTGAAGTAAATTGATGTTTTTGCCATCAGAAAGTTTGGTTTATGTTAGCAGGAAGTTGCTAGGCAAGAAAATGCACACATATTTAAAGTCACAGCGAAAAGTATCAGACATGCATGCAGTCATTTTGACCAATATGGTAATTTAAGGCAAAAATGCTCAGTTCTTTACTGTTTTGTAATAAATAAATAAAATAACAATGTCAGAAAGAAATACACTGATAGTTAGAAAATGGCAGGGTGTTATAAATATGTTAGTTTTATTTCAAAAAATTATAAAATTACAAAAATTAAAAACTCTCTGTGTATCTATCCACTCAAACCTTGCAGATGAGTGATTAATCCGCTGATGAATCAGCTGATTTGAAGATGTTTTAAATGCTTTCTCCAAAGCTTGAAACGCGGTCAGTGATGTCATCAGCACACAAGCAGCCAATAGTGTTCAGCTTTTTCTGACGACTCCTCCCTCAAATTTTCATTGGCTGTGGTTTTATAGCTTGAATGAGCTGATGGGGAATGAGTTGTTGTCAGATCATGTAGTGTGTGACCCCCCTCATGTGGATCATTCACAGAGTGTTGCGTAGTGTGAACACCACAGAGATTAAAAGACACAAAGTCAAGTCATGTAGTGTGAACGGCACAGCGATCTGCTGATGTTTAAAATCCTGTAGTGTAAACTAGGCTTTACGTGCTTTAAAGGACTACATAATATCACTATACACAATAGCCTAGGTAGGTCTACAATTACATACCCTGAATGACGTCCGGAATAGAGCAGTTACTGCACCTTTTTGTGCATAATGATGAACAAAGAAGGAACAAACCATCAGGTCATCTGTTTTGGTGACGATGAAACTCATCGAGACCCCTCCCCACCCTCAAAAAAAACAAATCGGATTTGCACAAGGAGTCAACCCATTGAGCTCGGAAATATGGAAGCTCGGAAAAGAAACACATCCCTGAGTGACACGCAGACAAATATTTTGCAGTACAGAGACACAACCTTTGATGCTCATAAATTATCAAGTCATCGTGCTGCATGTATTTGGAGGTTTGCTGAAGGTGCAGCTGTCGTGCAGAGAGGGGTTTGTATGACAGTTCATGTTCATTGAAAAGTAAGAATGATTAATAAATCCATATGAAACAGTCCCTTTAAAATGACGCCCCTAAGTGCACCATCCAGATATTTAAAGTGCACTTTTACCATTTAGGATTATTAGTGTAAACACTCTACTTATGCCGTACTCACACTATGTACAGTTGCCTTGAAGCGGGCCAAAGCACGCTTGTCCCCCCTCCCATCTCCCCTGACGGCCTGCACTCACATTACATTCGGGCCTGGGCACGCTCACGTCACTGATGCTGCGCTGTTCAGTTTAACAGAAGAGAAGCGCTCTCTCTGAGCACAGTGAAGATTTCTTTAGTTATATCGTTTAAGTCGTTTGATATGTAGTGACACGCAGTTGAATATTTCACTGAACAGATCCGCCACTTTTGGTGCTCATAACAACCATAAAGTCCTCGTGCTGCAGGAATTAGGAGGTTGCTGAAGGTGCTGAAGGAGGTTGCTGTCAGCTGGCAGTGAGGGGTTTGTGTATTTAATAATCAACGACAGTTCTCTATTCTTAATACTACAGTATGCTGCAGCATCTCTGGAGAGCAAAAGCACGAAAGGAGTCCGACGGAGCGAGAGCAGATCATTCGCACGTGAGCAGCCAGTGTTTTGAGAGCTCGCAAGCAGTTTTGTCCATGAACAAAGGAAACCGGCGTGTGAGCAGAGATTCGCTCTCTCGTATTACAGCGCTCCCGACTTTTAAAACTGCGCTTGTGACATTTATCAGGGAAATAACGGCACTTTGCCAGCCGAAATCATGTCGTGCGCACTCAAAGCGAACTTTGGCAAACACAGCGATGATGTCACATTCGCCGCGCGCACTGAGTTTAATATCAGAACGCTGATTGGCTATTGCAAGTTGACCTTTTTGTAGTTGTAATACCGCAAATTACAATTGGACTAGTGAAATAAAGAACTACAACACCCCAAAAACCTAGCAACAACAACAAAAAGAATTTAAATGAGCATTAGATGTAGCGTTACATGGACATCGCAAAAATAAGACCTGTGCAAAAATATTTAAGACCTAAAACAGCAAATTTAAAACTTTTTAAAGCCATAAATTTTGATTTATGGCTTTAAAATTTAATTTAAGACTTTTTAACACTTTTTAAGACCCCGCGGGGACCCTGTAAAGTGTTACCAATTAATCCATATCAAACAGTCCCCTAAAAGTCACAACTTGCTTTCAGTTTCGGGCTCAGGCGTGTTTTGCACTCACAATACAAGAGTACTGCGCCAAAGCCCAAGTGAACCGCGCTTAGCACCCGATTCGGCGCACTCGCACTTCTCAAACGATCCGGGAAATGGGCCTGGGCCGGTTCGGATAGCATTGTGTGAGTACGCCCTAACACTATTTTAACTTTAAAATGGCACAGAATTGCAAACAAGTATGCAAATTGGGATGCATGTATGTGACCATGAACCACAAAACCAGTAATAAGTAGGCCCACACAGAATCTGTGCGCGCAGAATTTCGCAGATTTCTGCAGATTTTTAGCCCATCATAAATTCTGTTTTTTACTTGAGTAAATGTGTGTAAATCTAAATGTATTTAGTTTTTAACTAATTACAGTAATATTATTGACTAATATGAAAATGCTCATTTGATTTCTTTACAATGCAGTTTGTACAGTAATATTTTCTGTCTTTTAGTAGATATATCATATGAGAGACTTGCTTTGTTTACCAAATAAAGTGGAGATTACCAGTTTTAATTTGTAATTTTGCAGATATTTTTCATGATCAAACTACAACATTAAACGCCAAATGACTTTTACGGTGCAATAAATAAATAAATAACAGGAATAGTTAATATAAATGCATAAATTTTAATCAACAAATGACCCAGAAAGCAGCAATCAGCTGCGTCAGGTAAACAAACCTTTTTTCTTCTCCTCTCGCTGACTCAGTCGAAACAGGTAACTCTCAGGCCTCTGATTGGGGCCGCGGGAGGGGGATAGTGCTGCAGGGCTGGGGTAACTGGGTGACTGGAGGGCTGTAGGACCAGAAAAACAACATCATTGGGATGAGGGGTGTAAAATAAAAATGCAAACTTGTATGAAAACAAAAACATTTATACATACCAGTGGGCGAGGCATAATCTTCACCTTGCTAATGATTGCAGAAGAAAGAAATAAGAAGATAGGATCAGTGGAAATATGATATATTTAAACACTTCATCTGTGGCATGCACTGATAGTGAACTCTATGCATGCATCTGACAAACAAATGTCCATCATGGATATTTCTTCCAGCTTTTGTGAGATTCGCCATAAACAAACATGCACATGCATTGGCTTAAATCTTACACCATGTACTAAACAGGCAAGATGTGACAGATTTCCAGAATTATTTACTCAATTAAGTTAAATACAGCTTAAAGAGAAGCTCAAATGGTACTTAAACGTGTCGTAATATTGTGTTGGAGTATCCTACTACAGGTTCAAATGCACCTAATGTCAGAAAACATTGTAATGTTGTCAGAATATGCATTTAACTTTAGATTCAATATGCAACGACTTTGATAAGGTTCATTTGAATCAATCTTCTATAAGCCAACTGCTCTGATTGGCCACATAGTCAAATTCGATTTAATTGGTCTTTCCGCATCTATTCAGTGTCAGAAATGCAACGCCCATTTTAGAGTGCTCATATGTTGCTGTAGGCGGGATTATTCAAATGTGGTACATTGATAGTGTCGACAGATCGGTGGCAGGCAAAATATTCGAAAATAAACTGTTTTGAGAACCAAGATCTATTGATCATGCACTTTTTTTGTCTTAAACAACTAATGCAGGCTGTTGTTTACATTGAAGCACAGCTATGTTACAAACTGCAAATCAGATGTATATTCCTTTTAAGACCCAAAACCTGCTCTTTAATCAAGTGATGTCTATTAATCTACATTATAGACACTTTCTCAGATTTTGGATAAATGTGAACCTGCAGCACAAAACACAGTTGTAAGTGTAAATATTTGGAAACTGATATACAGCTGAAGTCAGAATTATTAGCCCCCCTGAATTATTTGCGCCCCTGTTTATTTTTTTCCCTAATTTCTGTTTAATGGAGGGAAGACTGTTTCAGCACATTTCTAAGCATAATAGTTTTAAAAACCTATATCTAATAACTGATTTATTTTATCTTTGCCATGATGACAGTAAATAATATTTTACTTGATATTTTTCAAGACACTTCTATGCACCTTTAAGTGACATTTAAAGGTTTAACTGGGTTAATTAGGTGAACAAGGCAGGTTAGGGTAATTAGGCAAGTTATTGTAAAGCGATGGTTTGTTCTGTAGATTATTGAAAAGAATAGCTAAGGGGCTAATAATTTTGTCCCAAAAATGTTTTTTTTAAAAATTAACAACTGTTTTTATTCGAGCCAAAGTAAATCAAATAAGACTTTCTCCAGAAGAAAAAATATTATCAGACATACTGTGAAAATTTCCTTGCTCTGTTAAAAATCATTTGGGAAATATTTAAAAAGGAAGAAAAAAATCAAAAGGGGGCCAATAATTCTGACTTCAACTGTATATGCATAATTGGAAAGATGGATAAGTAAGATTTCTTTTGATGTATAGTTGTTTTGATTGGACAATATTTGGCCGAGAAAACTAATCTGAGTGTTCAAACAATTTAAATATTGAGAAAATCACCTTTAACGTTTTCCAAATTAGGTTGTTAGCAACGCATATTACAAATCAAAAATCCTATTTTGACATATTTACGGTATTAAATGTACTAAATATTTTCATTGGAAGAACACCTTCACTTAATATTTCAATAATTTTGACCTACAGTATACAATGTGTTTTGGCTATTGCCAAAAATACACTCATACTACAAAAGCAAAATTATGACAAAAACATAAATGTATGATGCTTGTTGCAGACTAACAACTGATCAAATTATGCTTTCCTCTGGGTATCTGCAGGTTTCTAAGAGTTATATTAAAGACTTTAAGATCTTTTAACACCAAAAAAAAATTACATTTAAGACCAGTTGTATAGTATAATATTATTGTACTGAATTTGCCAAAAAAAAAAACACAACACAACCAATTAATTGCGTCCTTAACACTTTATTATATATGTAATGAAAGAGTAAAACAACCTGTATTTAAACTGAATAATAATAATAATTATAATAATAATAATAATAATAACAATAATAATAATTACGATGCAGCAGAATCACAGTTTTTTAAGTAGATTTCAAAATGAAAATCTTCTTTACGAGGTCGGTTTGATTGCATTTATAAGACATTTTAAGACTAATTAAGGCCTTATTTTTATACTATTTAAGGATCCGCAGACTGTAATTTTGTGCAGGGTCACAAATTATATTTAATGTTTTCAAATTAAGACAAAAAAAAAGTACAATGTTTGCCACAGTTTAAAAATTCATCAAAATAATGTTTTCCTTTAATCTGCCTGTTTTTGACATGGTGTTAGACATGAGTGCCACCACCACAGTATCTCAGTGCAGTGACATTTTGAGAGTAAAATCATCAGAATAATATCCTCAATGAGCTGCTTTGCGTCTAAAGAAATGAAGCGATGAAGTCAGTTGATCTCCAGGCTCCTGCTCATCAGTACCTGTTGTGTACAGAAGGGGGCGATGGACATAGTGGGAGACACACAGCCATCCAGCAGCACAGCAGAGAGAGACTAGCAGCCACAGAGAAACCAGGACGGGTCAAAACAAAACCACAGGAATAAAGAAACCAAAGTAGGAAATAAACAGAGGGTTTGAGAAAACGAAAGGGTTTTGGAGTTTAGATTTTATAGGTTATTCCGGAAAACACTGCAGGACATGAACACCATAAAGAGAAATTATTGGATCAATAATGCATTCATTTATTTTTGAAAAAGCTCAAATGTTTTATTTTAAAAAGACATATAAAAAGTTAATAAATAAATATTACATATATAATATAATATAATTAAATAAAATAATAATTAATTTTAAAAAAATTATTTAATAACAAATTGGGAGCAGTTTATTGACATTTCCGAAGAAAATAATTAAGAAAAAATATCTGTTGTATTTGTATTTACAGAAATAAAGTATTAAAAACCTTATGCATTAAATACCTTTTTTAAAGATTTTTTGTGCATATAAAAAATTTAATAAATCATATGAAAAATGAATAAATCATATAAAAATATAATAAATAGAAATGCAAATGTTTCAAATAAAAAAAATAAATCATTTAAATTTTTTAAATATTTAAATAATTAATAATTCTTAAAATTATTTTCTAAACAAACAGATGAGGACTTTATTGACATTTCTGAGTAAAAAATAAATCAGGTAAAAAAATAAAAATGTTTAAATATGTTTAATTTATTATTTAAAAATGCATTAGGTTTTTTTATTATTTGGAAAAAGATAAAATATTTCATTTTAAAAAGGCACCATATAAAAAAATAAAAAATAAATATATAGTTAAAAAAATTTGTAAAACATTGTTAAGAAAAAATCCAATGTATACGTTTTACAAAAATAAAGCATTAAACACAATGCATGACGTTTTTTATAATTTAGATCATTTAAATTATTTAGATCATTTAAATTGCAGTTTATTGCCATTATTGAGTAAAAAAATAATAAAGAAAATTAAACAAAAGTGTATTGTCAATCAATATGAATCAATATGTATAATGTATTAAAAACCTCATGCATTAAATAAGGTCTTCTGATTTATTTGGAAAAGCTAAAATGTTTTATTTTAAAAAGATACAAAAAATAATAAATAATTAAAAATAAAACTATTTAAATGAAATCATAATGAATAATAAATAATATTTTATTAATATGAATAATATTAACACATTAATAATTCTTTATTTTTTTCTAAAAATGAGCAGTTCGACATTTGTTGGGTAAAAACAATCAAATGTGTTTGTATTTACAGAAATAAAGTATTAAAAACCTTATGCATTAACGTTTTTTATTATTTTGAAAAGCTAAAATATTTTATTTAAAAAAGGCATCATATGAAAAAGTAAAAATAAATAGAAAAAATATATGAAATGAAATAATAGTCCATAACTAATTATAATATATTTTTTATATTTAAATAATTAATACTTTTTTTTTAAATCTAAAGAAACTGTTAGCAGTTAATTGAATGAGCCAAATTATTAAGAAAAAAATTAAATGTATTTGTATTTACAGAAATAAAGTATATAAAAAAATCATGCATTAAAAAAGGGTTTTTGATTTTTTGGAAAAAGCTAAAAAATAAGTATTTTAAAAAGGCATAAAAAAGTTAATAAATACAAAATAAAATGATTTTAAATTAAATAAAATTATTAATAAATACATAACTATTTTTTAAAATTCTAAAGAAACTGTGAGCAGCAGAGTAAAAATATAATAAAGAAATAAAACCAAATGTATTTGTATTTACAGAAGTAGAGTAATGGGGGCTAAAATAAACAATCTTGCATAAATAAAGAAAAATTATCATAATTATTTTTATTTCTACCACTATTATTTTTACAATTACAAGTTTAATAAAATCAAGTTTAAAATAAAATAAATCACATCCATAGGCTTACTTTGCATCTACAGAAATTAAGTGAAGACTCCAAAACTATATCTAATGCAACACCAAAAAGAGATAAGGTTATTTTAAAGCATTTTTGGGTAAGTGTGTCTTTCTCTTTCACCTGTTTGTGAGAGTCTGGCCTCTTCTTTATAGTGTTGGTGTCTGTGTCTATCTCAAATATGAGTAGGGGCTCAAAATCACTCTGAACCAATCAGAAATACAGAAAGACAGACAGAGGGGAAAAATGACAGACAGGGAAGTAAAAAGAAGCCGGGCAGGCATGTTAAAGATGCACGCTGGGAGAAAGCAGACCTAATATTAAAGATGCAATCAGTACCTTTTAATGTGCAGTAAACAGCATATAAAGCAGGTCACATGGGAAAAATTAGGAGACCATTTAAAAATATTCTCTGTATTTTTGTGAATTTCGAACTTGTATTAAGGCTGCACAATATATCATTTCAGCATCGATATCACAATGTGCTATAGTCACATCACACAATCTGCAATGTAGGGTTGTGATTATTAAACAATTCACAGCATTGTGGCGGCTTTTCAAATCTTAACATCAAGAGTGAATTACTTGTATTTGTTTTTAAGGGCTGTGACTAAGCATTTAGGCACAGTAAATTAGATTAATAGTACAATCCTTTTAATATTTACTCAATGAAAATAATACATTATTATTATATTATACAGTGATTATTTAATTTCTGTTCCTGAATACTGTTAGACTCCACAGAAAAATCCTAAATCATTGTTTACTTCATTTGAATCTTTGCTGTTATTTTAAAACTTTGCTTGTCGTTTTTTAAAATAGTATTTTATGCTTATACGCTCCCCTACAAAATCATCCCAATCAATTTAAAATTATGAATTCTTTACAAATAGAGATATACAAGTCATCTGGTGAAATTGTCTTCATATCACAATATATATACACTCACCAGCCACTTTATTAGGTACACATTACTAGTACCAAGTTAGACCTCCTTTTGCCTTCAGAACTGTCTTAATCATCTGTGGCAGAGATTCAAAAATGTACTGGAAATATTCCTCAGAGATTTTGCTCCATATTGGCATGATAGCATCACACAGTTGCTGCAGATTTGTCGGCTGCACATCCATGATGCCAATCTCCCGTTCCACCACATCCCAAAGGTGCTCTATTGGATTGAGCTCTGGTGACTGTGGAGGCCATTTGAGTACAGTGAACTCATTGTCATGTTCAAGAAACCAGTCTAAG